TGTGTGCAACCCGTGCACCTTGCAAGTCTTGAGACGCTTGAAACTTGTGGTCTGCAGAACTTCGCTTTGCACCGCAAATAATAGGCGACACACGCGCCTGCGTAGTGCACGCCGATATGCATGTATCCCTGCGTGTGTAGGATGTACAGCAGCTTACGAGAGCTGGTAGCATAGCAAGCTCCTCCAAGAGCTCGTCTACAGACTCGAGTTATCAGCAGTTTTCCTGATGATCATTAATGGAACTCACTGGCTATTGTTAATATCCGAATTCTTCCTGTACATGCTATTCTGTTAAGTCTACTGGTACTAAGAGACGGGTCGTTTTTCGCATACCTCGTGATACCATGATTAGCAAAATTTTCATGAGTCCCGTCAGCATCAACAGCAGCAAGCAGTCGCGGTACACGTCTATTAGGCTGCTTGGCACAGTCCTCCAACGGCAATGATTTGAGGGCTGCTCTCTCCTGCTCGTAGAGCAGCCTGTGCCCATCGAACAACTGCGCATTCATTAAGTTTGGGGCTTCAGCGCTTTAGAGATGCGGGGTTTCGGGGTTGTAAGGCTGTGGGTTATTAGGGCAGGGTAAGGGTTTGCAGTTTGGCGTCTTAGGGCGTCGGGAGTGTAGGGTGGGTGCAGCACAGCAGTTCGGGACAGCGCTGATAGCGCAAAGCTTGTGGAAGCGGCAACTGGTGCAATACGATGTGCTGTGATGGAACAGGATCTCACCAAAGGCCGTAGCGGGATGCAAAGATTCGAGACGAATGACACACTTCAAGCAGATGCAGCCAATGCCTCCTCGGTTCTAAACTCGAGCAATAGATCTGTTGATCTTCATTCATACAGATTCATACATGTGCAAAGACAATCCTCTATGGCTCTCTTGCAAGATGCCCGAGCCGCCACTGGGCGCCCCTAGACAGTGCAACCCTCCAGAGTGACAACTGCTCAGCAGACATTCCCCCAAAGGGTCCTCCCATGACCCTGGCTCAACTGAAGCCTGAGCCATAAACCCTGAAACCGAGACCTGCTGAACCCTAGACAAAGCGAAGCACTCTTCCTCTTGAGCCTCACCATCCCCTCTCAAGGCCGCACTCAAAACGCGATCCTGTCGACCAGGTTTCGGATCTGCGCCATGACGCCATCCAATGTGATCTCAGGGTCCATGCAGGTTTAGGCTCAGGATCTTTGAGGCTTTGAGGCGCTTTGGCTGACTTTTTCAGGAACTTACAAGTTCGGGGGGTTGAAGCTAAATTCTAGCGCTTAACGGGTTAGGAGCCTTCGGGAAGGAGGGGATGTGTGCGTCTTTTTGCAGCTCTGGAATCTGAGGGATTTCGTCTGCTTCCAGGTTGGAAACCAAGGGGGCTGAGACTTTCAGGATGTCGCTCCTTTTAGACAGGGTTCAGGGGGTTTGCACTTGACTGTACTTGCTTCAGCGCGAGTTTAAGATTGGGCGTATCGTGAAAAAGGGCGGGGATACCACGTTTGTCCAACACCAACTTCTGGTCTAAAGCCAGCTACGCGTCTAACTTTCAGATGCCGCGCTTCCAGGACCTCCATCTCCCAAAGACCACAGCACTTCCGCCCCGAGCAAGCTGGGCTGAACACTTGAAAGCGTTAGAATATGAGGGTCCCCTATAAGAGCCCGACACTTAGACTTGAACCTTAAGCGAACCCCTTTACGAATTCCCCGAAGCCTCGCTTCAGAACCTTCCCACCACCCCCAGGGGGCCGGCCTCATGGTCTTCTTCCATGGCATGGGCCGGTGATCCAACGGCCACAAGCTTTGGGGAGTAGGAGGGTTATTAGAGTATCTGATTGGGGTTTCATATGGGGTCTTCTAAGGCTTTGAGGATCTTCTTCTTCGTCAGTCGGACGGTTTGTCGCCAGGGCACCACACACAAACTCTGCTAATTTAGCATCACTCTCCTACCCGCGTTGGAAGCCCTGCGGCTGCAGAGATCTCACGAACGATTGGGGAGTTCAGCACTTTAACCAAGGTTCCTCAGGAACTCCTGAATAACAGCGGGGTACCCATGTGAAAAAGGAAACGCTAGTTTCAGAACTGAAAGGGCAGGGCACCACTGTCAATGGATCTTTGATCTGTTTGCGGCTTTCTTCTCATTCTTGTCTCTTTTGTTTCACGCTGTTCTGGCGTACCGACCATCCTACACGACAGTTACATCAATGATGACCCACGTAACGAAGCAAATATTGCTGTCCCCAACAATATCTACACGCAAAATACTCTTATGGCTACAGGGGAAAGAGAACGACTCGAGTCCTCAAGAAATGCTGCGCGGGGTTTGGGCCAGCAGGGTCTTATGGGAGTTTCCGAAAATAAAGGACCCTAAGATAGTACCCCAAATAGTAGGATCCATATTATAAGGACCCCAGAATAAGGTACCCCCTAATTTTCGGAAACTCCCATATTGCTTAGGGCATCGGTCAGGTCGAGGCCCCCGACATCCCACAGGCTAAAAACCCAAATCAAAGCTCCATAGGCCCTCAGCCGAAGACTCAGAAACCCCTTCTGTCAATCATGAAGATCTTAAAGATCTTAGCACGGAAACCCTCGCAACCCCGACACCAGGATGATTGCTTGTCATGTTCACGGCGCAGCTTTTGCAGGTTAGCATCCTACATCCTACAGCGCCCTACAGGTTGCAGGTGGCCGCATGGACACCCGCTGTAAATTCATTTCAACTTCGGCAGCTCATCACGTCTCTTCATGGGTTGCATGAAGAGTCACCTCAGTAGACGCAGAGCGGCTGAGCGCGCGGTAGTTTGCGATCACCTTGAGGTTTAGGGCTTCAGGGGTCTTACGGCAATTCAGGTGTTGGAGATGAAGCTTTTGGAGGGGTTCAAGGTTTAGAGTTCAGGGGTGTAGGTTTCTCCAAGCATTGTGAGGACTAAGGAACTTTTCTAGGATTCAGCCGCTGAAGGCGGGTGCAATGCAAGCTTCGAACCACCTTTCGAGGTGCCTTTCCTAACTTTGGGGGCTTCTCAAGAAAAAGGTCTTGAGCGCAGCCTGCATTGGACTCTACGGCGTAGAGCACTACAATCTCTGCGGTACGGAGGGTTAAAGGTAACTTTGGGGGAGACCACTATAGCAACCTTGCCTTCAACCCTGCTTACTAATGATCCGTTAAGTATGGCCAAACCGGAGCATGCCGTGACACGGGCTGACGTGAATCCACCATGCCTCTTTATCGGACATCTTCGAATCGAAACCGTACATAAGACATAACTTAAGTGCAGTCGTATTGCTGAACTACCCGATTATCCCCCTCCCCCTGGCATTTAAGGCGAACTTTGACGTGCAGGAGATGCTGTTTTTGTGGCTTTTGGGGCTTGCGAGTCGTTCTCCAAAGACTCTTACAAAAAACACCTTCTCAAGCCGAGCCGCATGGCTCGTGCCAGTGCATCGTGTCTGTCGCGCATGGCAGCCTGAGAAAGCATCGAGGTTGCTTTTGGGTAAGGCTCACTCTTAATCGCTTCTGTTGGTTTCTATAAGTTCGTATCTGTAAGGCTCTCGAGGTCGATTTCTCTCAGAAATTAAGGTTTCAAGAAAAGCATTACTGCTACCAGCGCTTCAAAGCAAGCTCCATGTAACGGATTGGGTCTGCGGCATGCTCCATTTTTCCATGCCTGTTCATGTCTAGCAGTTCGGCTGCAAGCTAGATTGCGCCGTGGGCTTCGAAGTCCGGATTCGGTGCAAAGCAGCAGTATCCAAAGCGGAAGTCAACGACCTAGCAGAGTTTAAAACCTATTCTGTTTATTAAGGCCCCTACACAGTAATCCCTCATAGAACCCTGATAGATCCCTTGCAAGCTGACCTTTTTAAGGAACCATATTCCAATTATTAAGGCCCCTACATATATTCTCAATCACTTTCATGCTCTCTGTCTCTCTCTCTCTCGCTCTCCCTTCCTCCCCCGTCTCAAAGGTACACCGGAAGGTCAGGATGATGAGGTTGCTCAGCCAGCGGGGCGTCCGGGATGAACACACAAGGCTCAGGCACACATGCTGCGTTGCAGTCGTGGCTCAGGCTTCCGGCGACACAACTACAATTGGGAAAGCAGATAAAGAGTAGTGCTGGAATGATGCTACAGGAATTCGTTCACAATGCTTAAGTTATAGGCTACAGGTGTGCACATGCAATGCTGTAGCACTGCTGCAGTAAGACTGCAGGTACAAGAACTCGAAACCATGACAAGTACCAGATAAGAAGATGCCCTGACCCTGAACTGAGCGAATGCCCAGGACCTATGGAGTTCAACAGTCACGGCCCTGAGCACTAGAACGGAAGGAATGTGGAGAACGATGCTATTGGGCTGAAGGCGAACACTAACCGCAGCAAAGAAGACTGTATGCTGACTGTATACTGTCGTATACTTGTGGAGAAACTGCACTGTGCAACACGAGGCTGAAAAAACATGTATTAGGTACCGTACTTTAGAATCCCAAAGCCCTAAACCCTAAATTCAACACCCTCAACCCTAGTACATCCTATAACTCTAGGGCCCTTGAGTCCTAAGGCCCTTAACGCTAAATTCAAAACCCCTAAAAGCCTTTCAAGGCACCATTGCTCCTGTTCGACGAAGCTCCCAAGCCTTGAGCTAGGCACAGGGAAAGAGGAGGCAAAGCATTGTTGAGGGTAATGCATATGGGAGTTTCCGAAAACACGGGACCCTAATACAGTACCCTAAATAGTAGGACCCTTATTATAAGGACCCCAAAATAAGGTACCCCCATAAGATTCGGAAACTCCCATAAAAGGGCAGCACGGCACAGCATGCTCCGGACTCTTCTGCTGCGCTCTATGAGTCGCAATTTGCAAGTCTTGAGGAACAGAAGAACATTTTGGGTACGGCCCCCGTACAGTAAGAGTCTATAATAGGGCTACTATTAAGGTTCTACTATATCTATATTCTGATTATAATTCAACTATTACTGAGTGGGGGCCGTACCTAAAGAAAATTGCACAAATACAGCAGAGGAATCAGGGGATCCAGCTGAATTCGAAGCTGAAGTCATGCCCTGTGTGCTCGATCAGGCAGACCCAATATGTCATGTAGACGGTGATGGACACGAAGAACCAGTAGTCAATCTCTGAAGAAATTGCAGCAGCTGTCAGCTCAACAAAGTTTACCCCCAGCAGCCTCCACGACAACAAAGCTGTCACAGAAAAAATGCCCGCTTCGATGGCTAAGCCGTATGCATTGCCAACCATTCCCTGCACCACGTCATCCTCGCTCTGGCTGGAAATTCCGATGAAGTAGGACCGGTTTCCTGTCCAAACATACTGCAAGATCCAGTTCACAATGATGTAACCTACTGGCGCCAACATTTCTGAAAGCTCCAGCACAGCGACTGGACAAAGCTTGGCGGAAACGTGATTTAGCAGTTGCGCATCTTCAGTTGAAAGAACGGTATTGCTGAGCTCTTGCCGCGACTTCGTAGAAAGCTGTCCCTGAATCTTCTGCAGTTCTGCTGCGATTCTACGGCAAGAAGCGACCTTCTTCGTTACAGATTGCTTGAGCGATGTGGGACTCAAGACAGGCATGAATCGACCCAGAAAGCTCTGTGCAGAGTTCCCGACATCTGGCATATTGTCAGGATCCAACTCCGCAAGCATCTCGAAAGCTTTGAATACTGACTGCGGGGCCTTTGTTGCTTCTAGCAACACCAGGGTAAGCTCCACACCCGTCCCTTTCGCATCCGCCATTAGTGATGCCGAAAAGCATAAACCGACAAAGTTCGGGTGCCATTTGAAGACATTGATCTTGTCTTGGGGCATAGAGAAGCATTTCCCGACAAAGTCCAGGCTCTTACACACTCCCTGTACATAACCGCTGAAGACAAAGATTGCCAAGATCTGCTGGCCATAGGAGAGTTCCTTGAAGTACACCAAAGCAATCAGCAGCATTGCAATCATGCCTTGGCAGGTCACGATGAAGAACACAAAGAACTTCAGAGCACGCCATGATTTCTTGTCGCGGGCCTCCTTCGGCAAAAGCCTGAAGGAAAGGAAGCTTGTGGCAAGCACAGCGGGCTGGCAAGCAACAGGGGCTGCAAAGGGCACTGGGAAGATGCCTGCGGCATGAAATGCCAGGTGCGTCAAGAAGCATGTCACCGGAGTTGCCAAGGCCGCCAGCGTCACGATCTTCTTGACCCCGACTCCGAGTTCTGGAGGCAAGTCCAGCATCCTCAAGGCCGGAAGGAGTGCACCTCGGGCAATGACGAAGTTGGCGACGGGATGCGCGATGCAATTGAAGACCCAATTTTCCCAGAATCCACTGCTTGGAGCTGCAAAGGGTGGCATCACGTAAACTGCGACGACCATGAATGGGCAATCTCTTTAGCAACGCTTCTCTTGAAGGGCAACTCTGGAAAATGACCTCCACTCATGTCCTTCTCCACGGGGTCTGCATCCTCGTAGCTGCTTTTGGCGGATGACTGGGTGCCATCGAGAAACTGGTCGAGATCAATTGACAGAATCGAGACGCCCCTATCAAGGCCCGCGTCCTTCTCCGCACAGGCTGCATGCTCGCAGCTGTTTTTGGCTGATGGCTGGGTGCCATCGAGAAACTGGTCGAGATCAATCGACAGAATCGAAACGCCCCCATCAATCTCCTCGGTCTCTGTCCCGTTTGTGTCACACATGTAGGCATTCCCGACATATCCGCTTGAGTCCATGCCTTTGGCAGGCTCCTCAGAATACAACTTGCTCCCCTCATTGTGTGCCATTCTCTCCTGTGCCTTCGGCAACAGGAATGCCTTGGAAAATTATGCGGCACTTGCCGGGTCACTACCCTGGGAGCCTGCATGGGCATCAAGACGTACATGGCTTGCCGTGGATTTGCCGTAGCTGCAAGGCGTGCCGGCTTGTACATAGCTTAAGGCAAAGACTACGTGCGCGGTCTTTACACGAGTGTATTCTGCTCGTCATATTGAATGTGGAGAAGTTGCAGGATGATTCTTCCAAAAGCTCGAGACTTGTTGAGAAAGCACACTTCGTATGGCCAACCTTTCCCCAACCTGCAGTAATTAAGCGGCGGCCATCTCCAATCTCCGGAAAAAGTCAAAGGCCCAAAGGCCGGGAAAGAAAGACTACATCATTGGATCCACAAAATCGTTCTGAGAACCTAGTGAAGCGCACCCGATGCCTCAACCACAAGCTCGGTGCAAATCCTAACTGCCAGCTTCAGCTGAGTCCCTGTCGTTGGAACGGAAGAGGCGTCGCTTCTCGGCTAGCGAATTGTATTCATCGTGATGGAAACCATGTTAATTCGACGGTCGGATTTAAGTGATGCTGACGTGGTTGACTGAAGAAGCATCCATCTATCCTTCTGTCTATCCTTGTTTCTTTCATGCTGATTTTCTGGGATATCCACATGATCTCCTGCCATGATCTCCTGCACTTCGGGTCTAGGCCCCCCTGATGAGCCAAACAACAACAACAGCAGCACTACCACTGTATCACAACATCAGAGTTTCGGATCTGTTGGAGTCTCGAATATTGTACGGCCATTGCAATTTTTTTTGTCGGTATCAGAACCTTCTTGCCAAATGACAGAGTTTACGAGAACCCACATGCACAATCCAAGAGCTTAAGGCTACAGACGCATGATGCGATTCTAGATCCGCTGCCCTAAGGCCCCAAAGTAGTTCCTTTCTGGGGCCCATATGTAGAATCCTAGAAGGTAATCCCAAAAAGGCACTACTCTGGGGCCTCTCGGTAGAACGCCCCCCAAAACCCCGAACCGAACCCGATACGCCTTCATGTCAGTCAACGGGGGCCGAAAGACCCAGAAAGCGACTCGAAGCTCGAAGCCTCGTCGGGCCCCCTACGGCTGATGATATCAATCCTGCATTACCTTAAGGATCCTAAACTATGAGAATTATGGTATATTCCTTATTTTGGGTAATGCAGGATTTATATCATCAACCGTCGGGCCCGAAAACAGTCCCTGTGTGCCCGAAACAAGGGCTGCAGAAGGGTTCTATGAGAGATTTTTCGGGTTCTGTAGATATTCGTATATACGGGTTCCAGAAGGATTTCTCGAGGTTCTGTACGGGACTTTATGAAATCTATAACTCCATAACGGGTTTATAAGGGTTGTAGAAGATGCTCTACAGGGCATTAGACAGGTTCTGATCTAACTCATATTTTGGCCTGTGAGGCAAACTGCTCAATGGCCCTCAATTATACGTAGTTGCTCCCGTGCCCTTGTAGACACCAAAGAAGTACTTGGACCCCGAGGGTAAAGAACACTGACACTATAGGTCACTAGGTCATTTTGCTCAAGACTCAGATAGCGCTACTTGCTGGCCAATGTGGCGCACAGGGCTTGAGGCGCTACTTTAACGCTGAGCTTCTTAATATGCCCAATATGTAAACGCACACGTGGGCGGAAATGGACCCAAATACCTACATGCTACTGCTCAGAACCCAAAACTTCAAAACCCTCACCCAACTATCCCGTCCCTAAAACCCTAAAGACAAAGCTCCAAAACTGGTGCTTCTTTCGCAGTCGATCTATCCCTGATACTTCCAGCAATGCTCTGGGCAAGGCCTCGTCAGCATTCGCGTTCTGCGAAGCATGAGGGTTTCAGAACGCTGGCACCTCATAGTTTTAGGAATCATAAACGTTGAACCGTCGAACACCTTCACGGTACTACCATGCCGGAACCAGGTTATCAGGTTCCCAGACTTCTGAAACCTCTCAAAGTCCTGCAGTGCAGAAGGCAGTCGACTAAAGTGTCGACTGCAATTCTGCACAAGGATGGTGATACATTTGGCAAACATGTTGCTCTTCACCGAAAGAACTCTAGTAGGCGCACTACCTACGCAGACTTACACCCACTCGGACCTAGACAGTGCAAAATGTGCTTCTTTTGGGAGCTGCCTCTGAAGTTCTTGGAGGAACCCCGAAGTCGAATAGGTCCGACGGGCACCGCGTGGGATTCGATTTCTTCCCCGCGCCAGGCTCACAAGACAGCTCTGAGTCTCTTAAGACTGGTGATTGCCTGGGATCCGGGGTGCGATTTGGGGCATCATGCAAGGCCGAAACACCTTGCTTGAACTGAGTTACCGCATGAAGCCTGCTCAGACTGGTGGTGCCGCAGCCCCAGAGCTGGATTCGGGTCCCTTGGTGTTAGGTCCACAAAACTATACTGAACTTAGAACCCTAGCAAAAATTATAATTTTAGCTGTTTCTTATAGGGATTATAATAACCAAAAAATTAAGAAACATTTCTAAGTACACCTTAGAGTTCATAGCAGGGCTTCGAAGGTCTCCCGCCAAGATGCTCTGCTCGCCGGCTGCATGCCCTTCGCCTGCCATGGCCCACAGGCCCACAGCTCTGGAGCATTTTAGGCCCAGGAAGCTGAAAAAGTAGTGTTTTATAAAACACTAAAGGGAACTCCAGAAAGTTGGAATATGGTTTCAGCGTAGGATACCCCATAATTTTACCATAAAGGGTTTAGGATAATCATATTCCAACTTTCTGGCTTTTACTTTACAGGCCCAGGAAGCTGAAAAAAAAAGAATAATTTTTTTTCAAGCCGATAGCCTAGCTTGTGCAGTAGAGAGGTTGGGCCCCAGAAGGAACCTCGCAGAATTGAACGAAATCGATTGGGGTTCCCATAGGGGCCCCAAACAGGGGCAACTTTTCTGACAGCGGGTGGGAATCAGAGTCTCAGGGTGCCAGCTTCAGGGATGGTCTGCGTCGAGCCACGAATCTTTGACTCCTTCCCAAGGGCTCACATACGGTGCCAGCCAAGGCATATGTTGAGACCAAGGAGCAAGAATTACGCACAGAAAACGTGTGGGATAATGAGAGCGACGTCGAAGTCTGTGCCTATCGTCGTCGTCTAGTAACATTAAAGAGACAGCAGCTTAAAGCGACCCTGCAAAGCACTTGCCCCTAAACCCCAAATCCTGAAGCCTCACCTCCACCACGACTTCATTGGTTTCCTGCACTGTGGTGGAGGAGACCACCACGGCCTGCTGCAGAGTTAATGGCGCCGTACTCGGGTTTCATGTATAAATTCGCGTCATGATGGTCTTTCATAGACAAGCAGGATCTAGGGCATCTAGGGTCTAGGGACATAGTATATAGGATGGTGCATAGGTTGACCGGGCAACATGCTCGTGAAGTTCCCTTCGCCTTCAAGTATCATAAGTATCAGTGGGCTCAAGGCCAGTGAAGCGGGTGTTTTGGGTTTTTGCTGCTGGGCACGAACTGCTTTGCTTGTGCTTTCAGAACTTGAGCTCGAGTTTCTCAGGTGTTCGGTGTGCTCTTTTTGAAGAGAGTTTCCGCAGCTGCTGGCAACACACGATACAGGATTTGCGACCGAAAGCCCATGGTGTGGTTCAATCAAAACCCTTAAGGGCCACAAACTGCAAGCTGTAAGACTCTTGAGCCATAATCAACCGTCATGACAAGGCACCTAGTATTCTGGCACTTTGAAGCTTGTTTACGGTCTGCATTGGCTGAGGAGGATCCAAGACTATGCGAACTAGCTTGGAGACACGGCTGGCTGCAAATCAATCTGAGGAAGCGTGCAGGAAATGAAGATGTAAACATAGCCATACATATCTATGCTCACATATACACACATGTATATGCATTTATGTGTGTGTGTGCATGTAGGTGTGTGTGTGTGCGCGTGTGGAAAAACCGGTGGGGCTGTGCTGGAACTAGAAATGCTCGACCTATCGGGTGTTCATGTTGGAATCCGAACCGATCAAACCGCGACCAAGTCACAATCGAACAACATGCGCAAGTATATAATATGTACATAAACTTTGACTTTGTGAATGTGTAGTGGCGCACCTCTAGCGTTCTTTGGGCTTGTCATCTTCTGTGCCGCAAAGTAAACCCTTCCCTGGAAGCCGATGAGCAACCCTTGGAACCCTGAGCTCGGGCCGAGAAACCCTGGTTTTTTAGCGGGTTTAGGCTTGTATTCGTGTACTTTAACCCTGACCTACCTTTTCAGGGTTCCTTATCATGATTTCCTTATATAAGTCCTTAAGATGGTAGGCTCTTCCGGCTTAAGGTGTAGAAGGCTCGGGGTTTTGCAAAGGTTTCTAGGGAGACTGTGCAGTAGCAACACCGAGAAGCAAGAGTCAAGTAGTTTGAGGATCAGCGGACCCAGCCAATACCCTGCAACATCTCGAGGCCCTCCTCCGATTGCGATTTCCCGATCCTCAAGATCCTCCAGGAATATTTCCCTGAACTGTTTCATACTTTCCTCACTGAGACTAGTGGAGTTCCAAGCGCAGAGGAAAGTGCTCAGGTGCCCGCGGAACAGAGTTGCCCCGGACGGCGGCTCCC